ACTTAAAGCGAAAGTGCACGTCCTCTTGCATCGGTCACTTTCTCTCCATCCATTAAAAAATTTTCCTTTTTCGTCCAGGTCTGCCTTGCATAATTTATCGATTTGTCGGACCAATCTTGTCAACTTCTGCGACTCACGAATTCCCTCCGCAGAGACATTCAGCAATCACATTGGCAGCCCACCCAATTTAGTTGAAAGCCTGTCATGTACAGTAAACGGCAGTTTATTCCAATTGAGACCACTCCCCGAAAATGTCAGGCATGGCGACATTCCCGCAAAGATCCGAGTTCACTTTGAGCGAGGTAGCCGTTCCGTCGTGCTTCGGGAAAGTGAGCTGCAGTGGGAATTGCTTTTCCAAATAAGTTTTGGGAAACTATGTTGCAAGATCAAGCAGCGTTCACGGACAAGCACGAGTCATATCATGGACTCCTGCATTCTTCACGACACTTTCGCCGGATGGAAATCCTCTTCGGCCACACCACCGTTCACAACGATGCGAGAATCTCAAACCCTAACTCCCCAACGCAAGTCGGCCTATTCCTGCAGGTCGCGAATGTCATCTACCTCCTTCTTGTTTGGGGAGTGTGGCTTGCAGGTTTTGGAGTCTGGATGCAGATGTTGAGAGACCAAAGGGTAGTGGGTGGGCCCTTGACTGATGTGAAATCCATCGCCTCTTCACTATTCTTTGGGGTGAATTTTGCTGCCGGCATCTGTCATCTACTTATCTTATTTTGGAAAAGAGAAGCCTACGTGCAAGTCTGGACCGCTCTCTACAACAGCCCCAGCGTGGTCCTCCTAGACAGGATTCGGATAAGTTTTATCAAGCCACTTCTTCTATTCGCGGCTTATGCCTTGGCCTTGACTTCAATGGTGGTGCAAGCGGCCCTAAAAGGACAGATACCTTGCGGAAGTTACCTAATTTTGATTCTTTTCGAGGCATCAATCATACTCAGCGCCTGGATAAAGATAGCCGTGAAGGTCCCCGTCTGGCACAACTATTGCCAAACCGTCGGACAGTTGGAAAATTTGAAAGAACTCGTCAAGACGAGTGGCTGCCAGCCAGCCATCAATCGGGCCAAGACCCTTTTCATTGAGATTGAAGACGTGAGCAAGAGTTTTGCCGAAACGCACACTCCGGCTTTGGTCGTCTCCACTACCAATGACTTAATGGACCTCGTTATCTGTCTCTTTTTCGGGATTACTGGTGCTATCGGAACTGAAAATTCTGATACTGCTTTGAGCGTCCTAACTCGATTAACTCCATGGGTACTTGTTGCTGTCTGCCTCGTACAACTGATATGGTCGTGTGGACAAGGTCAGAGGCTCCAGGACTCCATGGAGGAGTTCCGCAGAGAAGTCCACAGAATGGACACTTCCCACTTGGATGAGGATGCCAAAGGAGAACTTGCCCTGTTCACGACCCAATTGAACGGCAAGATTTTCCCGCTTTCTGTTGGGGGCTTCTTCAGGGTGAACCAAGGACTTCTGATTGGTGTTCTCGGTTCCACCACCACCTACCTCGTCGTTCTCCTCCAATCCTACGTTTCTAATCCTAATTAACTAGCATGGTATGAAACTCTTCATTAACGCATTCTTCATGCTTTGCTTGGAGATCCCCTTTTCATAAACGGTTTAAAAGGCACAACTGCGACGGGAGGTAACTTTGATCATTGTCGGAGAGTCAAGGCGACACGGCTTCGCTCCCCGTTTGATTCTCATCCAACTAAATGATGCAGCGTTATTTTGTGCTAATTCACGCTAAATGTTATTTTCATGAGAATGGTAAATGACCAAAGAAACGTAATGAAATCTGATAAGTCCGAGCCCGAGCAGCATTGAAAAATAACATGTTAATGAAGGGACTGTAATAGAGCCCTGTAACAGGGACTTTGACACTCTTTGAACATGTTTAGTATCATAATCACTAGACAGAATCGATGTGCGTCTCTTCATAATCGAAGAACTAGACTGTTTTCGCTACTTTGACAGTGAGTCCAATTTACTTGACACTCCTGAATGACTTGTCGCACAAGTAATATATTATTTCTTGGAACCCATTACGAAAGAATGACTAGCATCGTCCACGCCTCGCTGCGACATGGCACTGTCATCCAGTTTTCCCCATTTTATCGGCAGTAGGACCGCTGAAGGCATTAGGAGTGCTCCAGAAGAGCTAGGGGTTTCTCGAGGAGACCATGGTGGCCGAAGGAGCCTTCGTGGACAGGCACGAGCCCTATCACCGACTTCTTCGCTCTTTTCGGCACTTCCGTCGGGTGGAACTCATCTTCGGCCTGTGCAGCCTGGACTTAAATGAAAGGATTGCAAACCCGACTTCGTCGAGGCGGATCGCCAAATTTCTGCGTTTCGTCAATTCTCTCTACATGCTTCTCATATGGGGAGGGCTGATGGCAACTTTCCTCTTCTGGATGTGGTTATTGGGGAAACGTGGGAATCTGGGTGGAGCAAGTTTGGCCAACGTGGATGGGATCGCCTCCGCCATTTTTTATGGGGCGAATTTCGTGGCCGTCCTCAGTCTCCGAATCGCCTGGTTTTGGCAGGAAGAGAGATACCTTCATGCTTGGACGGAGCTCTACAACAGTCCGAACCTTTTCCTGATGAAGGGGATTAGAATGCACTTCTTGAAGCCGTTGAGCTTGTTCGTGATCCATACCTTGGCTACAAATATTCTAGTGATTCGCGAGGCCTTAACAGGACCGATCATCAAGGATCAGGTTGGACCCACTATTATGTTATTGATTGGTTTCAGCATATCATCCATACTCACGGTATATATCAAGATGGCTGGGAAGATCGTCGCGTGCTACACCTACCGCCTCGAGACCGGGCAGATGAAAAATCTGCAGGAATTACTGAAGACGGCCAGTCGTGCCGTGGAAATCAATGACGTCAAAGCCTTATTTATGAAGATCGAGGAGACGGCTGCGGAGTTCAACAGGGTCTTCACCCCGCTGCTCGTCATCACAATTGCCAACGACCTCATCGATCTAGTCAATTGTCTGTATTTCGGCATCACTCGACTGATCGCACTCGAGAACTCAGGAACTGAAAATGCCATGATTATATTTAAACTACTGCCTCCGTGGTGCCTCATCGCAGTCTCCTTCCTGGAACTGAGTTGGCTGTGCGAAGAGGGCCAGAGGCTCCAAAACGCAAGGGAGGAGTTTCGGAGGGAGTTGCACAAGGCGGACACGTTTCTGCTTGATGTGGATGCCAGACGAGAGCTTGCCCTGTTTAAAACTCAGTTGAGCGGGGAGGTCGGACCTCCATCGGTTGGAGGCTTCTTCAACGTGAACCGAAGACTTCTCATCGGGATTCTCGGTTCCATCACTACCTATCTCATCGTTCTCCTTCAGTCCAACGTTTCTGCTCGCGGCGTCAACGAACATCACAGTAACGATACCACGTGAACGCGGTCGGCGATACCGTTAGATGTAAAAAAAAGTGACATCGTTTGCAGTAATCTTTTGTGTCACACGGGGCGTGGGAAACGAAATGGAAATAAAACGTCACGACTGAACTCCACGTTTCTTATTAACCTCCAAATGAAAAATGGGCACACCAATTAGTCCGAGCATGATGAAATGATAATTCCTTCTACAACTCAGCCTATATTGCCGAGTGCAACGACTCTTCGACGAGGGGTCGAGCGTGCTGCCACTTTCGGAGAATATGCGAATGAACCTAAATCGACGTTCGATTATTGACTTAAGTCTAATTTATGATGAAAGAAAACGGCCAATGTTCTATTTGCAAATCTAACGCTCGGAAAGCCTACTTCCTCTATGGGTATGATATAACCGCATGTCTCGACCACCTCATCCGAAGATAAACATCTTCTTTGTGTCTCGGAAAAAAAAATCAACACGAAATTTCAAGTGCGCATTCGATGCTGACGGATGCCTTTGCCAACATCGTCCTCCCGACAATTCGAGATTCAAAGGCCACGATTGACTAGAATCGCTTTTCGGATTCTGACGAAGCGCGCTACCAGTTTCCAGCACACGTAATGCTGAACCGGCAACAATTTTACACGGAGAAGATTCCTTCTCGGACTAATCTCAAGCGAGTCGTATACCGGGAGGTCGCGGAGATCGCCGAGATCGTGGATGCTGCAGAAAGAGATCAGGTCGAACGCGAAATGCGTGGGGTCTCATTCGGTGAAACCGGTCGTAATGATGCCGACTTAGAAAAACACGGTGGATTCCGCTTCATTGGGCCATCGGGACGGCAGGTTTATCGGGACATTTCGTCGGGAACGGAATCGTTGAGGTGATGAAAGGCAAGTTCGCGTCATCGGGGGAAATTGACCTAGGACCGAGGTGTCCCGATTAATTCACTGTATTTTCAGCTCGACGGAGCAGAACGAGGATTTCTACGGTGCCTGGGAAAGAGAGCGTGTCTGCAGAAATTTCTGCTGGCTCAACTGGTTTCTGCTGGTTTTTGGCACGTCACCGCAGTTGCATGGCGGTTTCCCGAAACGACGAAAAGCGCTTAGAAATGGCTGAAACTGCATGACCGTCCATGATGAGGAGAATCTTGTGACACGAGAGACTTAATCCTTGTACGCGATTCTCTCTTCCCATAGATGGGATATAATTACGCGTCGCAGCAGCAAGGGAAGCAGCACGAAAAGCAACATGGGACCATTCAAGAGACGTAACACATAGGTTGGGGATTTACCATTAGGGTAGGTGGGGGGGGGGGGCGGGACATCTTGCGTCTGAGAATCCCTGGAAATTCCTGTTCCCACCCTGCAGGGTGAAGCCACGAGGTCCCCCACTCGCATGCCTCAAATCCATGCTCTAGCACCATATTGTGGCCGAGATGAAACCCTTCCCTCCTTTCGAAAAAAAAAAAGAGTTTTTTGGGTACCGCATGCATCCGTCAGTGGAACGCAGCCGATCCATCGGATCCAATCAATGGAATTATCTTGATCGCAATGAAAGCGGAGACTCTCGATGCAGCAATCGATTCCACCGCTAATCCATGTTGACCGTGCGGTTAGCTCTAATATCCAAAACGACTTCGTGTTGCAGCTGTTAAAGGGCACACCTCTGGAATTGCATTTGAAGACGTTAGCTGACCCTCGGGGGGGGGGGGTCATATGACCTCGAGGCAAAACCGTGAGAAAAATGCACTGACAACTTTCGTACGAAGCATTTTGCCGGTTTTTCGAGCTCACATCCCATATGATAATTGTGAAGCGACATAAAGATGCGCGACATCACGCAGAAAGCCCGTTCCTTATCATTTTCCTTCGTTCGCTTCGAAAGGACATTTCGTTATAGTTCGTCCCATGCGCGTCGCAGAATATTAACGATTTTGAGGCCGACGAGAATTGGAAAAGAAAAAAAGGGAAGGAACTGACCCATCCGCCCTGCGCCAGGATCCAGATGGAAGCCTCGTTCTCGATCACGTTCCCCACCGTCTCGACGAGGGGGCGGAGGAACTCCACGTGGCCCTGGCGGACGCAGTCGATGGCCAGGGAGCCCGTGACGGCGAAGAGGGAGCCGATCTTCCCCCACGTCACGTCCCCGCGGAAGAGTTCGCGGCCCAGGAGGGTCAGCGTGTGGCGCAGGACTTTCTCCGACGTCATGGTTGCGCACACCTGGCGACACACTGAACGGGGAGAAAGGCCGTCGATACGTGACCGGAAGTTGCCGTCGAAGAAGAGAAAAACATTTCGGAATGTGCAAAAAGAGCGTGAAGACGGGATTGCGAGTGGCATAATCCCTTTTTCAGAGATAGTTCAGCATGAAGGCAAAAGAGAGTATCGAGAAAGCATAGCACTAAAAAAAAATCTGAGAACTTGAATGGTAGATCGCTAAGGCCTCCGTCGTAATCATGACATTGCAACAAATTGGTTCCGAAGGGAAAGGGATAAATGGAAATAGCCAATCTGAGCCACCACCTTCCGTCCAGAAGGTCCAGTTTGTAGGTATAAAATATGGCGCTGAGGCCCATTTATGGCGTAGAGGCTGAGTGGACTGACACCGGCAACACGGAATCCCTTTTTCCTTATCGGTCCCAATCTGCTGTTTTATCCACGTACATGTAGCAAAACTTTTTCTCAGGATGCGAACCAAAAACGAAGAAACATTTCTAGGTAGCGAATGACATACACTAAAATGTCCTTTTCTACCATGAGGATATGTCTTCCAAAGACAATATCATTCCTACGGACATATCGTAAAATCGGTTCAATTTACATGCATCGTAAACGGATCTGGTGCACGTCCCCCTGAGTCAGCCTATGTGTATTTAAACGTTCAGAGTCGCAGAGGCGGAAGGAGGCAGAAGGAAGCAGACCGGAGCTATAGAGTTTGGGGTGATTGCGTTCCAGCTCGAGGCCGATCGTCTGGAGGGCCCCGAAGACCTGGCAGAGCGTGAGGCCGCCGGGGAGGTTCGCCACGCTGCGGAGCCTCTGAAGGCCCAGCTTGCGGTGGTTGATGCCGCTCCGCTTCAGTCGCCAACGGATGTACTTTGGGGGGGGGGGGATAAAAAATGGAGAAGAATAAGTCAAAATGGATGCAATTTTTGGCAACGTCTGAATCAACAGGAGAGCAATCTGATAAAATGTAAAAACAAAAGGCTCTTTGAATTCGAAACCATTTAGCGAAACGCGATTGCGATCTCTGCTCGCGTTGATTGTTTCGTGCGAGTGGAGTCCGCGTGAAAAATATTTACCTGGCTGCAGAGACTGCGGGCCTGATTGGCTATTTCCCGGTTGCCGAGACTCCTCCATCCAATGGTGGAGGAGAGCTTCCTGGTCACGTGGCTGAGGGTCTGGCCCGCTTCCCCGAAACTCACGCTGAACCGCCTCTGGATTCCCACGCTCTCGCGACTCACGCTGAACCTCCTACGTGCGAGAAACTTTTTTTTTTAGATAGCTGGAGGGAGATAGCAGGAAGTTGAGGCATTTGGCAATCGCGGAATATCGCTGGGAAAACAAAAACTCGATAAGAAAAATGAATCCCGGGAATCCCGTTACATCCCGTCTCGAATCGAGAGCGGGAAACTCGCTTCCGCCCTCGGTGTTCGGGATGACCTTCAAGATTACGTAAGGAGTGAGCGTAACACGGTAGGGAGGAAAGGGCTTCGGGCGAGAATAGAACCATTCCGAGTCGGGGCCTCGTACGTCGGTCATTGTCACGGTTGAATGGTTAAAGGGGGCGGGGGAGGGAGGGGTTGGAAGATGGAAAAGGAGTTTCCGCCTCTTTTGTCGCCTTTTCGGACATCTGCGGGCCGAGTATTTCTACGTCAGTGGTTCCCGAACTTTTTGGGGTGGGGGCCGTGCGGTGGTCACTGGTGGGGAGGGGAGGGGAGGAGAGGGGGTCACTTGTCTCCTGGTGGGGGGAGGTGGGTTGGGGGTCGATTAGTCTCCTGTTTAGGAGTTGGACTACTGGGGATCGATTATGAAACGTCTACCCCCCCCCCCCCCCCCCCTGTTCCATGATGGAATCTCACCTCATTTCCTCAATTTCGACATTCACTGGCGCCGTGTCACACCTGAACACAGACGAGGTCGGGGGGACTATGGATAGAATGCTTTGGTCTGCAGCGAGTGGGGGAGAGATTGTATGGAGATACGGCACGCGAGCCTTTCATTCTCGTTCGACACGAACACGTCGGCTGGAGGTGCGAATTCATTCTGCACGGGCCGATCCGATGGAAAGGGCTTCGAACAGCTGACTGTCGATCCGCCTTCATTGGAATCGCGTTTTCCTCGATTTATGGCGTTTGCGAACGGCATTCGCGAAGATTTGCGTGCGAAAATCGCGGTCGATTCGCGAATTCGGCGTCGCTTCGACCGACCGCGCTCACGGCGCCACGCCCTGCGTGCCTTCCCCCGCGTCACGTCCGTTAAGAAGTCGCGGGGGGTAACGAGACACGCCGGCTCCCACGTGTGACACGTCGATTCGACACGAAGGAATAAAAAAAAAGGAAGGAAACGAGAAAAGAATAAAAGCGACTCACGCGTGTGAGGTTCTCCTCGCGATGGAAGCGTCCATGTTGCAGCCTGACCTGAAAACCCCTCTCTCCCCTCCACTCGCGTTACGAAAGAGCCCCGCATGAGAGAGAGGGGGGGGGGGGGGGGGGGGGGGGGCCC